GCACTCTATCTGCAATTGCCCGAAAAGAAAGTCCAGCTTCCCGAAGTCCCACTATACGGCCCCTATCAAACTCACTAAGTTGACGAAATCGTACAGGTCACCGTACTCTAGGCATCGTAACCGATCGTAAAGGATGTCAAGAACCAAAATCCGCCAACGTTGATTCTTTACTGCGGCTGAAATATTCATTTTTAGAGCGTTAGTGAATTAAAAAAAAAGCAGTACAAAAATCGGAATGTCCAACTGATAAGGCTGAACATTTTTTCACTTGTTACTTACAGTAAGATAAATACATTCACCAACTTTTATTAAAATAAAACCATTTAAACTGGCTGTTTGGATTTATATGTCACTTAGTATATAATTCCTAGCAGAGATTTCGAGTATAGCTCGGTGACCCAGACCGAATTTGTTTAAATATTTTTTTTGAATTAAAATTTTTGGCCACATTTTTTTTTCAGGTTTTTCGGAACATTACGAACAAAAAAAGGTTCTTACTCACTTTTTTTTAAAGCTGGCCATTTTCGAGTTACAGGCTGTTTAATATCTGAAAGGCCCTATAATGGGTATACTCAATGTTTAAAAACTCGGATAATGCGTCAAAAGACTCCGAAGAGTACTATAAGATTAGTTTATTTTAAAACGATTTTAAAGCTTTTCTGTTAGCCCAAAGTTGCCAAATTTTCAATTTGTTAATTAAGTTGCTTAAAAGTCAACAACAAATCATCAACACGCTCTATTTCATAACAATCTTGGAATGGTCTTTTGAATGGATTGTTCCTTATTATACGGGTTGTCCAATAGGGACGCAGGAAAGTAAACGTCAATTTGACATAGACGCCATCTTTGTTTTCTGTCACCGACATGTGATTTTGTTAGTTGAATGTTTACCATTGATCGCTATGGAGTCGTATTCGATTGAAGACCGCATTAAAGTTATTCAAGAGCACTACAAAAATGGTGCAAAAATAAAAAACACGTTTCGCGCGCTTCGTGAACATTTCGGTCGCAACAACCGCCCAAACGAAACAACCATCGGTCGTCTGGTGCGTAAATTCGAGGCAACAGGTTCTGTGGCAAATCTGTCAGGCTCTGGCCGGCCAAGGAGCGTTCGCACACCGGAAAATATTGCTGTTGTGAAGGAGAGTGTGAGAGACGATCCGAAACAATCAACAACGCGTCGATCCCAAGAATTGGGTATTTCGAGGACCAGTTTGCTCCGCATTCTCCACAAGGATTTGAATGTACACGCCTACAAGATCCAATTGACGCAAGAGCTGCGTCGGGCCGACCATTTTTCGCGCCGAACGTTCTCAGATTGGCTCCTTGAACACCTCCAAATTGATGCTAATTTTTCATCAAAAATCATGTTCAGCGACGAAGCGCATTTCACTTTGAATGGGACGGTAAACAATCAAAACTGACGCATCTGGGCGAACGACAATCCCCGTGAGTATCAAGAGCAGCCGATGCATCCTCAAAAACTGACTGTGTGGTGTGCATTGTGGTCAAAAGGCATCCTCGGACCTTACTTCTTCGAAAATGCGGCCGGGGACGCCGTTACCGTCAATTCTGAGCGATATCACGTGATGATAGAGGACTATTTTTTGCCGCAACTTGAAGGAATGGATATGGACGATGTTTATTTCCAACAAGACGGTGCAACATGCCACACAACCAACGTCAATATCCATCGATTGCAGTCCTTCTTCGGTGATCGCGTGATTTCGCGCAGAGGAAATGTGCCATGGCCACCAAGATCGTGCGATTTGATTCCCCTCTTTTTATGGGGATATTTGAAAAGCAAAGTCTACGTCAACAAACCAGCCACCCTCCAAGAACTCAAAAACAACATCATTGCCGAGATAAATGCCATAGAACCGACCATGTTGCAAAATGTCATTGAAAATTTCGACCATCGCGTGGACGTCTGTAAATCCAGTCGTGGTGAACTTTTGAGCGATATTATTTTTCATACATAAATGGTATAAATGAACCTTCAAAATAAAGTACCCAACTTGATTTGAATGTCAATCTTTCTTGTTTTAATATGCGTTTACTTTCCAGCGTCCGTTTAGGACAACCCCATATTTATACCATGATTGATGACTATATGTCGATTTATAAACGATTCAACATATGAAAATACTCAACTTTGACAGCCTCGCTATTTTGAAAAATCATATACGAGTATTTATACTGGAGCGTTATGAAGTACTCGTAACGCCGTTCAAAATGCCGTATCACATGAGCTCAATGACGTCTTACCCAAATAGACCTTGCAAGTCATTCATAAGTACGCCGTTTGTTATGTTCGCAAACCTCAGTGGCGGGAAATACTAACTTTCATTCATAATTTTATGAAATTGGCCCCAGGCTTGGAATAGCTCAACGCTCAAGGTCAACTACGGAATTCCCACCACAGGCGTATCACAATGTGGGCCATAAAGGGCTATAAAAGCCAATAAAGTTCTCATTGGAGGGACAAAAACGTCTTTCTTGTAGGTATGCAAGTATTATGGTGACCATACGTCCCAGTTTCGGACTGTGCCCTACTGTTCCTGACAAAAGCCCGGCGACGTAAAAACTGCCCCTCTTTTCGGTCGTGGTGCCTCCAACAAAAAGCATGGGGATGAAAAATATCCTACTTTTTCCAAACCATACGGAATACGTAAAATTTTCGAACGACATTGTTAGCAACCCACTCCCCTACCCCGCTCTTCAAACTTCTAATGATCGCCCATCAATGCAAAAAATGAAGTGTGTTTGCACATTGTGCTTTCCTTTTATGATTGTAAAGAAAAATAGCAAAATGTGTGCCTTTTGTGGTAGGTACTAGACTCCAATATACAGGGTCTCCGCAAAGTTGGGGTTTTCCTTTTCAGAAACAACTACCCTTGAAATAATAAAGGTAATGTGTAGTGAAACGATGGCGACCAAGTAAAAAAAATAAAGGAAAAAGTACTCACTCTCCAGTTGACGAGAGGGGCTAAGTACGTCTCTGCCCGAAATCCAACAGAAAATGAAATCAGCTGATGCGCTACCGAGCAGACGCCGGCGGTGGTGCAGACCACGAACAGAGGTAACAAATAAGACGGCATTGCCGCGTTTTCAGTTTTTAGGTAAACGTACTTTATAGGTATTGTTCGAAGTTATCGCCGTTTGATTCAAAAACACAGGTGCGTGCACGACGTAGCCAAGCATCGGTGCAGGCTTTGAGAATGGAGTCCCTCCCCCGAATGAAAGCACCAGCTTGTTCAATTCTGAGACGAAGTTCGTCAACCGTATGCACTTCAGTTTTGTACACTAAGCGTTTCATTTCTCCCGAAAGAAAAAATTCACATGGTGTTAAGTTTGGAGATCGCGGAGGCCACGCTACGGGTCCATTACGTCCGATCCACCTATTCGGAAATAATTCATTCAAAAACTCACGCACTTCGCGTCTAAAATGGGGCGGTGCACCATCGTGCAGAAACCACATTGATTGTCTTACACTTAATGGCACATCTTCTAACAAGGAAGGCAAAATGTTGCGTAAAAAGTCTAGGTATTGCATCTCGTCCAATCTATTTGGGAGAATAAATGGTCCAATGAGCATACCGTTCACCATGCCAGCTCAAACATATGTTGAAAATGTGCCCGACGGACAGCGTGCGGATTTTCTACTAACCAAACATGAGTGTTGCGAAAGTTATTCACCCCATTACGCGTGAACGTAGATTCGTCTGTCACCAATATGCACTTCAAAAAGTCCGGATTATTGTCATGTTGATGCAACAACCACTCACAAAACCGCACTCTTGCTGGAAAATCGTCACGCAGCGTTTGCCACACTTTAGTTTTTGATACTTGCACTTCTCTAGCCACGTCTCTAGTGCTTGTTGTTTTTTGAAACGCAATCGATTATATGGGTTCGGTTACCTCGACACGCGTGACCGTAACCGTCGGTTGAAGGTTGCATGCTGACCTGACACACTGACCCCGACCCAGTTCTGCCGTCGGGTTGAGACCTTGTACCAATCGGTGATGTCCGGGGTCGCGGCTACAGGACGGTATTCAGATATTTTTGATGTTGCAGAGCCCTTTATCTCGGTTCCCTTAAGACATTGGTGTATATGGTACTAAGAAAAATTGCTTATGTTTTCAAGATCTACACGTTGTGTAAAGGAAAACCCATACTTTGCGGACACCCTGTATATATATACATCAAACTTGCACAGAGTCCATGCAATGGGTAATTAACTATAAATACTATAAATATACAAAAACTCAGAAAACAACTTGTGAGTAGTAGTACAATTTCAACAAAAAGTTGGTGACAAAAAACAGGAAGCAATAGCATGTTCCCTACATGCAAAATATGAACATCTATCAAACACTGTAAAAAGTTCTCAATTATTCATATTTCTTTAACAAGTTATAAGTGAGATAAATTAGTTAATGGTAAGTCATTATGAAAAAGGAATCAATCTATGGTAGTCTTGTAAAGATCAGAAAAAAGAAACACAGTCTATGGACAATTACTGTAAAATCATTTATGGGGTGTATGGCAAAAAGATCTTTGTCGATTTTAAAATTAATCTGTGACGATTGTAACTATTGGTGTTTGAATAAAACAGTTTTAGTGTAAATGCTCCTTACTCTATCCTTGGTTTCAATTTTTTTGGATGGGTCGTAATGAAGCCTAACCTGAAAATATTTTTTGTGTATTATTTTCACCAAAGCTATTGCATGGCCATCTAATGGGTCGTCCTCAAAAAGATGATCACCAAAATAATCAAATACCTTGGAGGGTATTACTCTATATGTTCCATGAACTAAAAGTGTTATTAGATTTCTTATTGTTTTATTACGTATGCCTGTCGTTTTGTCAAAAAATCTAAAGCATTTTTGACCTTCTTTACACATGTAAAAAAATATAAAATACTGAGTGGAACGGGAAAATGACGCACGTCACGCCAATGAGTAGAATCGTAAACATAACCTTACCTGTGAAAAGATACCCCTTCACTTTTCCAGCCTCAACCTTAGCAAAAAACACTTTTATCTCACCATAATTTAATAAAAGTCTAAAGAACACTTAAAAATACAAGAAAATCACGCGGATAAAAGTGAATTTCAAACAAAATAAAAATACTACAAGGTACTACAACCAAGTGCAGCGTTGCCGTATAAAAACGTTAATCACAAATATGCAGAAAATACTCTGGTTTGTATTATACCTCGATTTGTATTAAAATTCGCGTATTCTTCTCTTGTTCTATAAATTATTATAGGTACGTAGTCGTGCCATAAGTTCTGTCCCATGATAATCTCATGATAAAAATGAAACAAGATAAGATATATTTATATGAAAGATATTATTTATTCGACAACATTTTTAGAATTCATAATCAAACAGTTTTATTCAAAATGTCCCCCCTTGGCCTTCACACACTGCTTCAATCTCGCGGGCCACTCATCTATCACTGCACGCACAGCTTCCAAAGGAATAGCTGCCGCTGATCGGATCAAATCCGCTTTCAGGGACTCGATATTACGGTGGGCTTTGGAGCAGGCCAACTGCTCTAGCAGGTCCCACAACTTGTAGTCTAAAGGATTGAGGTCCGGACTCCCTGAGGGCCAATCTTCCGCAGCAATGAACTCTGGCACATTGCTTTCCAGCCAGCGCTGCGTACTCTTAGCCTTGTGAGCGGGGGCGGAATCCTGCTGGTAGACCCAGTGTTGGTTGGCAAACAATGTACCACTTAAAGGCTTGACGATAGGATCCAGTATGTCGCTCTGATAGTTTGCCGCTTTTGTTTTCACGCCCTGTTTACAGAAATGGAGCTGAGTGACCCCTTCGTAGGACACCCCCCACCAAACCATGACTGACGCAGGGTGGTGACCTCTCTCAACTCTCGGAATGATCTCCGAAGCTTCCTGTGAACTCCTTGCATACACTTTGTCATTTTGTCGGTTGAATTTTTCTTCTATGGTGAAGATTTTCTCATCCGTGAACAAAATCTTTCGGAATCCCCCAGCTGCGTACCTCTCCAAGAGCTTCTTGGAATTTGTCGCCCTGATGTGTCGCAAGGTGGCCGTAAGTCGCTGGCCCGTACGTCTCCGGTAAGCCCCTAGCCCTAGGTCTTGTTTAATGATGCGCGACATCGTCCGGACAGGAATCTTCATTTCCCTGGATAGGATCTTCTGCTTCCGGAGTGGATTCCTTTGAATCCTGGCTTTTACGGCTTTGATGGCTGCTGGAGTCCTTACTTGACGAGGTCTTCCGCTTCTTGGCCTGTCATCAACAGAGGACGTCTCATTGTACCGCTGAATGGTCCTAGACACAAATTTACGCGATATTTGAAGGCCGCGTAAGAGTTCAAAAATCTGACTAGCACTGTGATTACACTTATGTAAAGCTATCACTGCAATACGGTTCTCTGCCTTGCCCCACTCCATCGTTATGCTTCGAGAGATCAATACAAACTGAGGTATATGTAATTACCCGAAAAGCGCTTAATCAACTGACACCACAATGTAAACAATCGGACAAGTATTAACAGGTCTACACTTGTTTGAAAACGAGGGACAGAACTTATGGCATGACTACGTATATGAGAATATACATAAATTTCTTCTAGAAGAACCTTTGCAACAGAAATAGGTCATTTGGCTAGTTGTGGATACGATGGGGCTAATGTCAAAACGACGTGGGGCCAACTTATTTGGCGACATCGCAAAAGGAGTGATTGCTGTGAGGAAAGAACAATTCTAGGTCTATTTGGGTAAGACGTCATTGCATGAGCTCCACTCCCAGGTTGGTGCTCAGCCGAAATTTTCAACAGTCTCTTTTACATCAAGCCTTAATTTCACCAAACCAAATGTCAGCTGCCTGACTTAACAAGTTCAAAAATGAGTAAGGAGCAACTTTTTTTGAAAGGCATTGTATATTGCTTGCCCTCTATTTAGCTACGAAGAACATTTCATATGCGGGGCAGTCCTGATCAGCCGCAAATATGCCTTGACAGCTGCCCATTGCATCAGACTTCCAGGAATGTATACTGTAAGGGCTGGCAGTCCAAATTTTGACAGAGGAGGAACCGTGATACCCATCAAGAAAGCGATGTTGCACCCTTGGAGAAGAAAAGCGAACGATGATTATGATTTGGCGATTTTGGAATTTCGTTTTAAAGTGAGGCGAGTATAAGTTTAAATCCCAAACAAAAATTATCATTGAACCTAATCGCCCACAGGGCTAATTATCTATTCGCGTTCTTGGAATAAACCTTCCGATTTGTTTTTTACTTCCCACGCCATTTGCGAAATGAGATCGAATGTTTATAATCGGAGAGTATTTGGGTATTGGCGTGGATATCGCGATTTTTTTGGCGGTGGTGTATTTATAAAATTCTAACCCCAGCAATTCTGTGCGCCTTTTAGGCATACTTCCTATAGATATTTGCCCTTAAGGCGAACGATAGAAATATCATTTATATACTAAGTGACATATAAATCCGAACACCCAGTTTAAATGGTTTTATTTCAATAAAATTTTGTATAAGTACTTAATGAAGCATAATAAGTAAATGATAAAAATTTCAAAATGATTGCACTGCTTTAAAGCCCTTTGACCTTTAATAATGTGTGGATGCACCCTGATGTGCTACGCATTCTCCAACGCGCCTAGGCATGCTTCTGATCAGGTGGTCAATGTCCTCCTGTGGTATCTCATTCCAGGCAACCACCAACTCCTCTCGAAGTGCTTCTAGAGTCTGAGGAGGACGTTGCAAATTGAGCAATCTCCTACCCATCATATCCCACACGTGCTCAATTGGGGATAAGTCGGGAGATCTTGGTGGCCATGGTAACAATGTGACATCATTATGTTGAAAGAAGTCTATTGTGACTCTTGCAACATGTGGTCGGGCATTATCTTGTTGGAAAGTTGGATCTGCCAGGGTGTCAAGATAGGGTAAAAGATGGGGTTCTAGAACTTCGTGGATATAACGCTGCGCGTTCATGTTACCTCTGATGAAGATTAAAGGTGACCTGGAATCATAAGCTATAGCACCCCAAACCATAACTCCAACAGTGTGATGAACATGTCTTTCAACAAAAAACTGTGGATTCCTCCTTTCACCACGTCACCTTCTAACCCTGGCACGACCATCGTGCATGCCTAAACAAAATCGAGACTCGTCACTAAAGACAATACTGTTCCATTCCTGATCCCAGGGTGACCGTTGTTTGCACCACTCAAGGCGATTACGTCGGTGTTCTCGAGTTAAAGGGAGGACCCAGTGTGGCCGGTATGAAAACAAGCCAAAACTTCTCATTCGTCGGTAAACACTTCGCATGCCAATAGGTCTTCCGTGTTCTGCAAACCATTCATTTTCAATGGACCTGGTAGTGGAGAAACGGTCCCTTAAGGCCAATAATCTTAGGCGGCGATCTTCACGGTCTGTTGTTCTACGGCGGCGTCCAGTGCCCCTTGCTCTTTGCGTACGGCCTTCTCGAAGCCATGCCTGACAACACCTAACCACAGTGTCTACACTTCTTTGCACTCTAACTGCAATTGCCCGAAAAGAAAGTCCAGCTTCCCGAAGTCCCACTATACGGCCCCTATCAAACTCACTAAGTTGACGAAATCGTACAGGTCTCCGTACTCTAGGCATCGTAACCGATCGTAAAGGATGTCAAGAACCAAAATCCGCCAACGTTGATTCTTTACTGCGGCTGAAATATTCATTTTTAGAGCGTTAGTGAATTAAAAAAAAGCAGTATAAAAACCGGAATGTCCAACTGATAAGGCTGAAAATTTACTTATACAAAATTTTATTAAAATAAAACCATTTAAACTGGGTGTTCGGATTTATATGTCACTTAGTATATATACAAAGCAGGCTGCTGCTGGGCGAACATCTAGGTGACACATTTGTTACATGAACAGCAGACAAGTGCTCGTCAACGACGCCCCGGCAATGCGACTACCAGCGCAATATAATTTATTAAATATAAAAAATAAGATACATTAGGTGTGAATAGACGTTCACAAGTCTCATGCGAATGTTATATTTCATGAATTGCAGAATATTATCTATTTTTAATACCTTTTCCTCAAACATACTTTTTCGTCAAATATATTGATGATATGACATGACCAGGTGTAAGGGTACCTATAGCTCATCAGTGATAAGGATATTAGAGCCTAAGAAAGTTTATTCAGATACCTAGTCCATAATTCCAATTTTTGCCAAATCATCAATACTTTCTTACTCTACGGTCTTATGGCAGGGTACATTGATTTTCATGGTCAACGAACAACAAAGATCAATCAATCAATCAATTCTTTATTCATGTCACAATACATAAAATATGTTTACATACGTCAGTAGATCAAATGAGAATTGCATTAGAATTAAAACAAAGGGAGTGCTAATGATCATAAAAAATTACAAACAAGTACACCAGCACTCATAAAGATATAACGCTAACATAACATATTAAGATTTATAGTTAAAATTTATGTCTTAAAAACTCTTCAAACGTGTAAAATGAGTTATTAATAAGAATTTTCTTGATTTTAACTTTAAAATCTTTAAACGGAAGCGATTTTAAGCCGTCTGGAAGTACATTAAAAAATTTTACCGCCCAATAACCAGGTCCATCTTGACACCTTCTCAGTCGCCAATAAGGAGGTACTAGATTGTTCTTATGCCTAGTATTGTGCTCATGAGTTACATAGTTAGAGTTTCTTTCAAAAATATATAAACAAGGCACAGTAAGGATTCCCAACTTGACAAAGGTATCTCTGCAATCGTCCCTGTAGCCCAAACGGCTCACAACCCTAACTGCTCTTCTTTGCAAGGCGAACAGTCTATGGATCCCTGAAGAATGCCCCCAAGCCAGAATGGCGTAGGATATATGTAAATGGCAAATGGCAAAGTAAGCCGTTCTCAATATGGCTACAGAAACACAAGAAGACAGACTCCGTAGCACATATATACCTTTGGTGGCCTTTCCAGCAACACTGTCAATGTGAAGGCCGCATTGCAATCTTGGATCCAAAGTAACCCCCAGAAACCTGGCTTCACCAACCAAATCACTGTCTCCAGGCAGGCTTCGCATGGAGAACACCATTCTCTTTGTCTTATCTTTATTTAGCAACAGCTTATTGGAGCAAAACCACAGCTCAGCCTCATCCTGCGCAGCCAGAGACTGTGCCATTGAGCGCTCAAAACTGTTAGCGGTGTGAGAGATGGTCGTATCATATTGTTATTGAGAGGTAAATCATTTATGTAAATTAAAAAAAGAATTGGGCCCAAGATGGAGCCCTGTGGGACGCCAATATTAACACTTCGCTCCGCTGATGTCACTCCATCACATCTCACCACCTGAGTTCTATTACTAAGGTAAGACTCAATTAGTTTAACGGAATCATAACTAAAGTTGTAAGCATGGAGCTTTTTTAAAAGGATGTCATGGCTCACACAATCAAATGCCTTACTAAGATCGCAGAAAAGAACCGTGTTATACCCTCCTCCATGGAAAGCATCAATTATAGAAGAAATCAGGTTAAGTACACCCATAACAGTGCTCTTACCCTGGCGAAAACCAAACTGATATTGTGAAAACAATTCATTAGCCTCAAAAAAGATTACCAGTCTCAAAGCCATACATTTTTCAAAGATCTTAGAGATAACTGGAAGAAGGGATATAGGTCTGTAGTTCTCTGGTGAATCAACATTGCCGTTCTTGAAAATAGGTGTGACACTAGCTCTCTTTAGAACAGTTGGAAAAATATTTTCTCTAAGACAAATATTAATCAGTCGTGTTAGAGGGATCAAAATTATGTTCTTTATACATTTTACAATTTTTAAATTGAAACCAAAAATATCTTTACTGTTTTTATTTTTGAGATTATCTATTACATCGCGAACCTCGTTAAATGTGACTTCAGAAAAAGAAAACAGAGGTGGCGGTACCAGGAAATCAATATTATTAACAGGATCTAAATGTACATCAGGGATGTGATTTACTATATTACCTGCTATGTTACAAAAAAAAAATTATTAAAGTCATCAGGTGACAGGTCACTGCTCCCAGGGCACTTATTACTCTTACCTCTTTTTTTGTTAATGATATCCCACACGGTTTTAGCAGGATTACTTGAGCTCTTTACAAGGTTGTCATTAGCATTTATCTTAGCTTTTCTTATTTTATTTCTATATAGATTTTTGTAGTTTTTATAATACTGGTCACTCACAAAACCATACTGCCCTTTCAGCTCTCTCAAAAACCTCAAATTTTCCCTCATTGCCCTTAGTTCGTTATTAAACCAGGAAATATTATTGCCCTGGTCGGACCTTACCACATAAGTTTTCTTTGGAAAAGAGTATGTATAGGCTTCTTGAAGAATATCCTTCATGAAGGCTCGCTCATTTTTTAATTTGCTGGAAAATAACTTGTTATTCTACGAAATGTTACAGGTTCTCTGATATCATAAAACCAGTGAGGCTTCCAAAACAAGACGAACCCGTCCCAGATGGTATCAAAGGTACTGCTTCCGGTTGGGGGAGCATGTCCGCAATAGTAACAGTACTCTCAGATAATTTGAGAGCGATCACTGTTCCGGTGATGCCAAAACCAATATGCCGAAGAGACTACTGGGGCATTGATATCTCCGATAGACAGTTCTGTGCTGGGTATATGAACGGGGGCAGAGATACATGTAATGTGAGTGATCATTTTATTTTGGGATAGAATTTGTACTTCTGAGCTCGCTGTCACTTTCTCTGTCTACCAGACGAACCCGTTAGGCTTATGTAGGCTTCACATCCAAGTCGGCTGTGCTCGTATATCTAGAAATGGTTATCATAACCATTGACTCATATGATGTAAAGCTTTCCCAATGCCCCAACGTTGTTCCCCTGAACGAATAACGAAATTAGAGGCATATCCGTCATCATGAGCAGCCGGTGCATAGGCCATATAAACGGGCCCTTATAAAAACTTACATTTGGGAGGTTCAAAATAAACTTTTTTTAATAAGATGTTTCACATCTGGTTTTGGTAACAGTTTAGGAAAGGTCACGCGTCGCCACTGGTCCGGATGGACTATTGTCGTTATTCCCCGGTGCCCTTCATTTTGAAATAGCCTGTGTACTAATATAAAAAAATGATTGGGAGTGCCGAATTAGCCTGTTTTTGTTTCAGGGTGATTCTGGCGGACCTTTTGTGATAGATGATAAACTATATGGTATAGTTTCGTGGGGTTTTCAATGTGCTAGACCTGGCTCGCCGGGAGTTTATACCAGCATACCAGCTCTCAGAGATTACATAAGGATAAATACCGGAGTTTGAAATATTGTCTACTGTTATTTTGTTGTTTTGTAAATATCTGTTAATATATAATTAACACTTTCCCATGTGTAATATTCTTGGAAATAATAATGATGTCCGACTTCTGAAATTAGTTAGTTTAGAAAAAGGTAGTCTATGATTGACAACAACATTGTTGCGTTTTCCGAGTCCCAAAAACAAAAAACAGGTAGAACACTAAAAATCCGTTAATCCTGGCCCTATGCTAACATACCATTTACTCCGAAAATACAGGCAGAAGTTGAGGAATCTGGAACAAAAAAACCAAAAAATATAGAAGGTAGTTTAAGGTCTTGATGAATAAATAAATAAAAAGCGTTTATTGCCCGGAAGTTGAGGTAACCATTTATAGGACAATCCTAAGGAAAGATAAATCAAACAAAAAAATATATAAAACATACAAAAAGCAGGTGATTTTATCTAAAGGAACAAATTAACGACGCATATTCCAATTTCGGTCTAATATACTAAGTGACATATAAATCCGAACACCCAGTTTAAATGGTTTTATTTTAATAAAATTTTGTATAGTACTTAATGAAGCATAATAAGTAAATGATAAAAATTTCAAAATGATTGCACTGCTTTAAAGCCCTTTGACCTTTAATAATGTGTGGATGCACCCTGATGTGCTACGCATTCTCCAACGCGCCTAGGCATGCTTCTGATCAGGTGGTCAATGTCCTCCTGTGGTATCTTATTCCAGGCAACCACCAACTCCTCTCGAAGTGCTTCTAGAGTCTGAGGAGGACGTTGCAAATTGAGCAATCTCCTACCCATCATATCCCACACGTGCTCAATTGGGGATAAGTTGGGAGATCTTGGTGGCCATGGTAACAATGTGACATCATTATGTTGAAAGAAGTCTATTGTGACTCTTGCAACATGTGGTCGGGCATTATCTTGTTGGAAAGTTGGATCTGCCAGGGTGTCAAGATAGGGTAAAAGATGGGGTTCTAGAACTTCGTGGATATAACGCTGCGCATTCATGTTACCTCTGATGAAGATTAAAGGTGACCTGGAACCATAAGCTATAGCACCCCAAACCATAAGTCTAACAGTGTGATGAACATGTCTTTCAACAAAACACTGTGGATTCCTCCTTTCACCACGTCGCCTTCTAACCCTGGCACGACCATCGTGCATGCCTAAACAAAATCGAGACTCGTCACTAAAGACAATACTGTTCCATTCCTGATCCCAGAGTGACCGTTGTCTGCACCACTCAAGGCGATTACGTCGGTGTTCTCGAGTTAAAGGGAGGACCCAGTGTGGCCGGTATGAAAACAAGCCAAAACTTCTCATTCGTCGGTAAACACTTCGCATGCCAATAGGTCTTCCGTGTTCTGCAAACCATTCATTTGCAATGGACCTGGTAGTGGAGAAACGGTCCCTTAAGGCCAATAATCTTAGGCGGCGATCTTCACGGTCTGTTGTTCTACGGCGGTGTCCAGTGCCCCTTGCTCTTTGCGTACGGCCTTCTCGAAGCCATGCCTGACAACACCTAACCACAGTGTCTACACTTCTTTGCACTCTAACTGCAATTGCCCGAAAAGAAAGTCCAGCTTCCCGAAGTCCCACTATACGGCCCCTATCAAACTCACTAAGTTGACGAAATCGTACTGGTCTCCGTACTCTAGGCATCGTAACCGATCGTAAAGGATGTCAAGAACCAAAATCCGCCAACGTTGATTCTTTACTGCGGCTGAAATATTCATTTTTAGAGCGTTAGTGAATTAAAAAAAAGCAGTATAAAAACCGGAATGTCCAACTGATAAGGCTGAACATTTTTTCACTTATTTACAGTAAGATAAATACATTCACCAACTTTTATTAAAATAAAACCATTTAAACTGGGTGTTCGGATTTATATATCACTTAGTATATGTTATAAAAATGTTACATCATGGTACAAATAATGCATTGGAACCTTTATAAACAAATATCTCGAAAACTATCAGCGTTAGACACTTCCAATAAGTAAACCTTTTTTGCTGTGGAAATACGAGAAATAGTGCTGTAAGTGGCGCTCTCTAGAAGGTTGGCCATAGAAAATAACATATTCTTGTTTTTCATACTAGAAAACCTCTCTAGACCTAGTTTTATGCCAAAGTCTGAAATGCTTCTCAAACAATAAGGAGAAATAGAAAATTGAATTGTAACTTCGCAAACTATCAACTTTTGACTAAGGTTTTGGTCAATTCTCATATTCTGTAGTATCTCCAGTTTCGAGATTATCCATTTCGCAGACATGTACTACATGTGATCTTAAATATACCTGACCTCAAGGTCTTATGAATCTTAAATGATGTTTCAAAGATTTTTCTACCTTCTATAAGCAAAAAATTATAAAACTGAATAATCGGCGACCTTCATTACAAATATTTGTCAAAGGACAAAATACAATAATTACTAATTATATTATATTATATCATTTCCTAACGAATAACAACTCATTGCGATGAAAAAAATGTATCTAACTTTTGTTATCGTTTGTTGATCATGGCGCTTTTGCCAGCAATTCAACATTAAAAAAAATCGAAAATTAAACAAACACTGAAAAAGTATCTACAATATCCAATCTTCACTTGGTAATTTTTGTGACGATGACTGTCGTGATTATATTGAATTTAAATATAATGAAATGTATAGAAGAAGTTGATGATAGAATCGTTGCTAGGAAAGAGGTTTCTATAGAGACTTTTCCATATCAACTTAGCCTATAATGTATTAGTCGTATAATAACACCGGATTTATCCCTTAATCGATTGCGTAACGGTCAGCGCAGCCGTACCCCATAGCGTCATACTTGTTGAAGTTTTTAGGACATTAATATCTCGGTTGTTTTGAAAATTTCGCGTATATCTTATCAAGAAAAATTGCTTATGTTACCTGTTACCTGACCTATAGGCTCTGTAAAGAAAAGTTCCCACTTTACCTTAGTCCAGACAATCAGTCAAATTCGGAAACATTTATCATATTTTCCTTGCTTATCCGTGAAAGCTGTAAATAAGCATATTGACAACGTATGTATTGAAGAAAGATATAGATACGAAAAATACTAGTTTAATTTATTGATAGGTCAAGGGAAAATACGGATTGATCGACACGTATAAATAGATATACTATTTTTTATGAATTGCTATCAGAAACTGGAAATAATTGGTAAATAAGCAAGCAACAACAATAACAATGTAATAGCTGAAACTTATCCTATGGTTTTCATGTCGATTGTCCCCCATATTTCACTGGCCAATCGGAAAAACATGACTTTGACAATACTCGTGTAATAATAATAATATTTTAATAATAATAATAATAATAATAATAATAATAATAATAATGGAAGCACATGATAGGTATAAGTACTTGGGATATCTACAAGCATCAGGTATGGACCATAAAAAAATGAAACAGCAGGTTATCAATACTTACCTTGTAAGGCTTGGAGCAATACTTAAAACAGAGCTCTCGGCAAAAAACACAGCAGCCGCTATCAATGCATATGTCGCTTCGGTCTTCACATATACGTTTGGTATACTACAATGGACTGAAACCGGATCAAAACACATTGATATCAAGACTAGATCTGCCTTCAGGAAGCAGCGCGCACATCACCCCCATAGCGCTATTGAAAGGTTCCACCTGTCTAGAAGCGAAGGGGGCAGAGGAATACCAAGTTTCCAGGCCAGGCACTATCAGCAGGTGCAAAATCTAAGAAATTACTTCATAGAAAAGTCAACGACATCTGACTTACATAAAGCTATAGTTCAAGTGGACAAGAACCTAACACCGCTGAATCTTGCTAATAGAACCTACAACCTTGCAGCAATGTTGAAGTCCACCACCGACCTCATCGAACAATGGAAATCTAAACCATTACATAGACGCTATAGAAATCGAATAGATGACTGCCTATTCGACAAGAAAGCATCGCAGGCGTGGTTACAGTCAGGGAACCTGTTTAAGGAGAAGGAAGGATTCATTGCTGCTACCAACGTCCAAAGGAACATCACTCAAATTCCAACCATCCGATCAGCGGAGGAACTGGACAACGCAGTAGAGGAGCTGGAGAATGCTGTCCTACGAGCGCACGAGGACAGTATCCGCTCCGAGACTACGGCAGTTCCTAGACACCTAAATGGTCCAGCACCGCACCATATTAGGCACCTGATCAGGGAGAACAGAAGACTCAAGCGAGAACATCTCCAGCTGTTGACAGAGGAGTCGAGAGTTGCGCGAAACAGAGCATCGCTAGCTCTGAAGAACGCACTCGCGGAACTCCAAAACAGCAGATGGAATGCAGCCTGTGCAGAACTAGAGACCCAGGATGGTACGGCCTGGACTATACAGCGAAAATTTCGTCGTCAGCGCACCACGATCCCCACTATTCACGGCCAACGCGGCTTGGCCTACTCCAGTGAAGAAAAAGCCGAAACATTCGCCGATTCGGTAGAATCCGAATGCAGACTCAATTACCATGAAGACGAGGATGTCAACCACGAGGAGGCCGTGGAAATCGCAGCCGAAATCATAAGGAGTCGACCACCTGGCCAGGAGACGGATCACCCCTCCAGTCCAGAGGAAATCCGTCTGATCATCCGTAGGTTGAAGGTCAGAAAGGCGCCGGGAAGCGACGGCATCAACAACAGGATGTTGAAGAACTTTCCCTCCAAAGGCATTGCTGCGCTCACCAACATCGCCAATGCCACACTGAGACTTAACCACATCCCGCGGCGGTGGCGGGAAGCCAAGGTTATAATGCTCACCAAGCCAGGTAAGGACCGGAAGCTGCCCCAGAACTACCGGCCCATCAGCCTGGTTTCCTCGATGGGCAAAGTAGTCGAAAAGGCTATCGCCGTTCGACTAGAGAAGCAGGCAGAAGAACTGCAACTTCTCCCCCCAAAGCAATTCGGCTTCAGATCCTCCCACAACACGGAACTCCAAGCGCTACGACTGACGGAAAACATCACCAACGGCTTCAATCTCCAG